ATGTCTCATCCACAGAGTTGCCATGAGTTGGAACCAACTCGAGGGCAGCTAACAACAACAATACAGCCTTGCCTGGCCCCTTTGCCAATTGGGAACCATTCTGTTTCTCCATATTCTGTTCCAATGGCAGCATCTTCTTCCGAGTAAAGGTTATGCATCACGACTATCAGATGTTCTGGCATTCCCATTCCTTTAAGCACAAGCTATAACTTTTGTAGTTAATGCAGTCAAAAGCTTTGCTGTAGTCAATAAAGCACATACAGATTTTTTCCTAAAATTCCCTGGTGCACTCCATTATCCAACATATGTTTGCAATGTGGTCTCTAGTGCCTCTTCCTTTCTTGAATCCAGCTTCCACCTCTGAAATTTCATGCTCCATATATAGTAGGAGTCTTTGCTGCAGAATTTTGAGTATGATTTTGCTTGCATAGGAAATTAGCGCGATGGTTCTGTAATTACTGCAATCTTTTATGCCTCCTTTTCAATGACTATATAAAAAGCTACATAAAACCTACTTTATTACAGTGTATGTAATCCTTATTTGTCATAAAATGCTTCAATATCTAGTTTAAGAGTCTCCAAATTTCACTTCAGTTGGCCATGGAATTGTTCAATTTCATTAGTGTCAATTATATTTTTCAGAAACAGGGATCAACCAGTGCTTCAATGTCTCAGTATGCTCTGTTAGGTGTAAAATGGTATCTGCACCCCTATCCAGCAAAGATCGGCCATTTTCATTTGATTCCATTTGAGACTGCAGACCAAATCTGTCCTCTGCCTGCCCCAATCGCTTACTTTTCATTTGTATCACCTATCCTGATGAAGAAACCTGCAGAACTCGAAAGCCTGCACATCATTTTTGTTACCGGCTACTGTGAATGCATTAAGAGAAAAGGCTTTAGAAGGGATAAATATGAATATATTAAGACTCCGACTGAAGACTGTAGCCCAATATGGACTGGCTGGGAACAAATCACACCAACAGTTGAGGAGGCTGAGCTTGGGCTGCAGTGAGAAGTGCAGCCCTTGGTGCATCTTTGTTGCTGTTGGGTGACTTGAAGTCATATCATAGGGTCTTCTTGGCAAGATTTATTCAGAGGAGGTTTGTCATTGTCTTCCCTTGAGGCTGAGAGCATGTGACTTGCCCAAGGTCATCCGGTGGGCTTCCATGGCTGAGCAATGAATTGAACCCTGGCCTCCAGAGTCGTAGTCCAACACTCAAACCATTACGCCATACTGCATCTCCATTGTAAAAATCATGTAGTTTAACTGCCAGGGCTCCATTTTACAGAATCCTGGGATTTTTAGTTTGGTGAGCAGGTTGACCAGACATCTTCCTTTTCCAGGACATGTCCTCCATTTGAACCTTCTCCCCAGGCAGAATTCTACAATGTCCTCCATTCTGAGCAGGACTAAGCATGACCTTACATTTCTATGAGTGTTTTTTGCTTTTCTTTGGTCATGTCCTCCCTTTTTCTTGAATGACCTACATTTTGTGATTCCTTGTCCTTGGAAGTTAGGGCATCAGGTCACCCTGTTGGTGAGGCACCCGCCTTCTTTGCCTAAAAATACCTTGCGCAATGGCAAATCCCAGGATGCCGCAGGAGGGAGCTTAAGGCACTTCAAGTGGGGTCAAAGTGCACTATTTCTACAGTGTGGATGCTCTGTTTTCCCCAAGCAGCCCTGGGCTGCCATGGCATTGGAGAAGGTAGGAAAAGGAAGCCCTTCGTGCCTCCTTGGCTGCATCCGCACTGCGGAAATAATCCACTTTGACACTACTTTAACCGCCATGGCTCCTGCTATGGAATTCTGGGAATGGTAGCTTTGTGAGGCACCAGCATGCTTTGGCAGAGAAGGCTAAATACCTTGTAAAACTGCAAATCCCAGTATTTTATAAGATGGAGCTACAGCACTTCAAGTGGGGTCAAACTGCATTATTTCTATAGCGTAGGGTCCAAAACACACTGCAGAAATAATCACTTTGAGACCGCTTTAACTACCCTGGCTCAATGCTAGAGAATTCTGGGAACTGTAGTTTTGTGAGACATTTAGCCTTTGTCAGAGGGCTCTGGTAATCCCCAGGATTCCCTAGCACTGAGCCAGGGCAGTTAAAGTGGTCTCAAACTGGATTATTTCTGCAGTGTGTCTTGTTTCTAATGCAGTCGGAGACCACTGTGTCATGGCCCCATCCCAGGGAAAACTGGGATCTATAGTTTGCCAGAGCTCTTTGCCAGAGGCGGCTAAATAACTCACAAAAACGACACATCCCGAAATGCCATAGGCATATAACTGTGGCAGATCTGAAAATAATAATAATAATAATCCTTTGTAGGATGAGCTCTGGTGCCACAACCAAGCACACTTCCCAGAATTCCCTAGCACGGAACCTTGGCAGTTAAAGCGGGGCCAAACCGCTTTATTTCTGGGATGCGGCTGAGGCGCTGGTTGGAGGCCTCCTATGTGGGCCCGAGGGGGCGGAACTCTCCTCCTCCTCCTCCTCCTTTTCCTGGGCTTCGGAGGGGAGGGCGGCTCGGCTCCTTTCCCCGCCGCGATGCTGCTGCTCCAGCTGAGGCTCCAGGCCCTGAGGAGAGGCGCCTGGCTGAGAAAGAGCGGGAGGCCGCCGCCGCCGCCGCCGCCTTCGCCAAGAGGCCTGCTCCCGGCGGCCGCCGTCTTCGGCAGCAGACCCTCTTCCTCCGCCGCCGC